GTGAGAACTATTGGCAATATATGCGAATGGGGTGGCCCTATCCAGGGAAAGTACTACATATGGGTAGGATGGTTAGATGGTAGTGAAAACATAGGTCCACCTGAGAGGGGGTTACTCACCATGGCTTACTGACACATATGGGATCATCAGGCAGGATCACTCAGAGCTGCCACCCAGCCCTAAAACGAGGGTTAACAGAGCGGCAATACCAGACATATGTGCCAAGCACGCGACTCCTCCGCTGAGTCATGTGTTGGGGGCCTGAAAGAAAATCTTTAAAGTTCACTAGATGAAGTACTCGCTAAGCAGAGCAGAATAAGTGCACACAGAAATTTTTGACACCAAGCACACCACTCAGGAAAAAGACTCAACTTTAAGGCAAGAAGTGCCAGAGATCTGGCCATGGGTGCCAGATGTTGCCCTGTCCCCATGGAGTGGTCACCATGAGGGAGGTTCGGAAATACAGGTCTAGTTGGGCCACAGAGGCACAACAAGCAAGACATTCATTCTCCTTGGCCATGTACAGGGTATGTGCGAGCAGGCTCACTGTGTAAAAAGCAAATTGCTCAAAGCCCAGGGCCAGCTGGTAGCCAGCACAAACATGCTAAGAGGGGCCTCAGGATGTGATTGGCATGTAGAAAACTGTCTCTGGTGACAGAGAATTGAGACATGGAAGTCAGTGTACTTCATGTATATAGCTGCAACCAATCACAGAGACTGATGCATCAGTGGATGCGTTTCTGCGTGGACATTTTGAATGGCATCCTGTGCAGATAACAATTTTAAAATGTGCAGATCTAGGATTGGTTATAACTCACCAATTTTTTGGGGGACAATAAAATACAGACTGTAAAACACCCATCTCAGCTAGAGGGACTGGCTTGATTCCATCTTTTGCCGGGAGGACAAGTGTACAATCTCTGGAGGTCGTCTGGCGACCTGAATTGCATTGCTGAGTCTGACCATGCAGATAAGCCACTACAATGGGCTTGGAAGCACTAACCAGGCCATCAGAGCCTGTGCCAAAGTGCACTGAGGTTATGAGTGTGTTCCATGCTGGCAGCACTCAAGCTTCACACCTAGAGAGAGGATAAATAGCTTTTTCTTGGGTACCATAGGACAAATGTGACATGCTGCATTCATTGTAGGTGGGATACCCAGCCTATTTACCAGACTTAGTGGTGCCCCTAGCAGACTTAGCCAGCATGGATATGCCCAGCAGGAGAGCAGTCTTCTAAGTCTGCCAGAAGACCACATACCCCATCACACTTAACTGTTTATTCACTGCCAAGGACTCCTGGGTAATGTCTAGGACAGGGTCACAACTTTTCTGCATATTTAGACAATGTAAACCAAGGGTGGCATTCCTGGACCACTAGTGTGGCCATCATCTTCCCCAGGTCACGGATGGCCGACTTGGTGGTCATGAGAGCATAGTCAATCATCGTGCAGAGCTCTATCATCAAGCCTATGGATGAACACAGATAACCTTCACCTCTTGTACTGGGGACCATACTTAGCTGGCACCATACCCCAGAATGTGGGTTGACCAAGCAGGCATAGCAACAATGGTATTGGCCCTCACCTGACTCCTCTGTACAGTCAGGTGAAGCGGGCCTTGGAGGAACTTCACAAGTAGGGAACTTAAGCTAGCAGAGAAAACTCCAGCCAGTTCTTATGACTGACTGGAGTTACACAGCACTTGGGAGAAAACTGGCTCTGCTCTGAGATTGTAGAATCTTGCAAATGTGTTCAGTGTCACCCAGCCCAAAGCTCTACAGATGTCTGTTAGAGTGGTGCCGCATGTTAACACACAGGATGTGACACTCCTGGTAGAGTCTGCGCTTACCCCCGGGGAACATGGCTCACCTTAAGTGTTTTACTTAAGGTCAATGATATCCACTACCCAGTAGGCCAACCTTTGCTTAGATTAGGGGTGTCTAAACTCGGTCCTGGAGGGGCCGGTGTCCTGCAGATTTTAGCTCCAACTTGCCTCAACACACCTACAATGATGTTTCTAGAAAGCCTAGTAAGAGCTTGATTAGCTAGCCCAGGTTTGTCTGATTTGGGTTGGAACTAAACTTTGCAGGACAGCGGCCCTCCCGGACCCCTGGCTTAGATACTAAGATTGCTAACTGAAAATGCCTCCAGGTCCCAGACCTTCTTGGTCAAAGCCAGCATGGTCAGCAGAGCTATGTTAGAGACAGAAGATACTGAATTGAGTGGCTTAAATAGATCTCTCTGCAGTTTGAAGGAACACAGAAAGATCCCAAAAGGGTATAAGAGGCACGTAAGACTTGAATCTCCTTACATCACTGAAGAACCGGAGGACCAGATTATGTTTTCCAACATTCTGCCATGCATCATGTTTCCATGGAGATGGCAGCAACATTGACTTTTAGTGAGGATGGTGACAGCCCACTCTCCAGCTTAGGCCCCATTTACACTAGTGCATTTTAGTTTTAAAACGGCATTTTAGAATGAAAACGATCCGCGTCCACACTCGCGTTTTACCCAGCGTTTCTGAACTGCTCTCCGTCCACACCAAAACGCTGAAAACGCACATCACGTGACCACACACACACACACTCTCAGGCAAGCGCTGCAGCCCATCTACCCAGATGAGAGCTCTGCTACTCTCCCGCTGGATCTAATCTCACTATATTTATTAAACGGGATATTTCATTCATCTTGATGTCTTCATCTAACGACATATTCCCTGACTTTGGTCATTGGAATCTATTACTTGTTCTCGGGTAACGTGTTTTGGCTAAGCGCAAAGATAAGTTAATGATTAATGTAACCACGTAGCCTATTCTGTATATTGACTGATCGCTTGCCTTTATTTCCTATAATGTATAAACTTATTGTATGTTATACTTTTATAATGGCCATTATCGATTATTAAAACTGATATTCAGCAAAAGAGAGGGTGTGTTTTGTATTTTCACTGAAATTGAAAGGAAGCAGTTGTTATCGGCTCCGTTTAGTTATAAATATCTACACAGTGAAGATGACGCTCATATGCAGCACGACGCCTCAATATTTCTGCTGTCTGTTAAGTTGCTATTAAAATGAAAATAGGCAGTTCCTTAATCATGTTTACATTTTATTGTAGAGAAAGTGAAACAACGTAGCCAGGGTGATGTGAATGAAGTTATAAAGTACACTGTTCCCTTTGAAGTTTTACCCGTGTCCTCGGTATAGTCTGTTTTCCATATCAAACTGAGAAGAAGAGACTGCAGTCTTGATCAAACTTGCTTAGTCTGAACTTGCAAGGAGAGGAGAGGACTTACAAGGACTGAACTGTGTGTGTTAGGCTACTTAATATTGAGGAAAAGCCCCAATCAGAGAGGCGAATGTCTGCAGCCCCGCCTCCGTTTTCAGATGTCTCCATTTTCCATCATCCACACTGAGACGGAGCAGCAGCGTTTCAGAATGAAAACGGCCTCTCCAGCATTTTCGAAACGCTCCGTTTTCGGCGCTCGAGAACTCCGGCGTAGAGTGGACGGATGGCGTAACCGTAGCAAAACTTATGCGTTTTCAAACTAAAACGCATTAGTGTAAACGGGGCCTTAGATTGAAGGTAGGAAAGCACAACACCGATTGGGCATATTCAGGAGACTTCTTGGTTGAGAAGTGCACCAAACAATGAATAGACTTCACTGCAGGGCATAGATGCCCTCACAGAGGGGGCTCTAGCCTGAGTGATAGGATCAACTACCAAAACCTAGGGACTCCCCGACATGGCTTCTGAGTTCAGCTCCATCTTAAGAAAAGTTAAAATTCACACAGAGGGGAGGGTGCTCTTCCCTTGACTGATCTGAAGCGCCCCCTAGCTGTGATGCCCAGAGTATGCACATGTCCAGTGAGTGGCAATGGTCAAGTAAAATGTCTTAGGTAGTATAGTGAGATTGTAGATCATACTTGGAGGATCTTCTCTCATCCTGTCTTTCTGTTTCAGTGGAAGTTACATCAATGCATTGACTAATGATGAGTGTTTCAAAGCACTTTAGGGAACTTTTAACAGAGACAATTTAGTAAGTAAGATTGGGTGTATGCATTTTTTAGAGAATGTTAAAGTTTAACATTTGTTTTGTTTGATTATGTTACAAACAATTTTTTTGTATTTGTCTTTTTTTATTTTTTGTTGGATACTGTAAAGTTACATTCACTTTTGTACAATATTAATTGCTTTTTTATTCTGTTTTTTAAATTAAAGACCATCTTTAAAATGCCTCTCTGTTAGCTATTTCAGCCATTCAAGTACACCCCCTGTCTTTTTGAATAGAGAAACATGAAAATCTCAAAAGATATGCACCAAGCCTACTATTAAATATCATATCTAAAAGCAATCTGACAACTGTAATCTGACACATGTGTAGTCTTTCACAAAGTGAAAATTCAGAGTTTACTGTATTATAGCTGCTGTGCAATGACTTTACCAACAGTGATGAGTATATGTAAAGTGTGATGCCTTTGGTGACACTGTATATACACATTTCAATAATGTCCCTGGATCTGTGTGCATTTTAGCCTCTTCACTTTCAGAGGTTTGGATAAGATCCAATATGACATAATTGCAATGTGATTAAACCTAGGGTTGATAATTGAACAGGAAATTCCGGTTGGGTATGTTTTGCTGGAATTTTGTCCTTGAGCTTTATTGTTTATTGTCAAACTTCACAACTAGACACATGATACATATATGTACCATTTTTTAAATATTGATTAAATAATTAGAACCTTCATTGACTCTCACCATACAGCAAATGCAAAACATGCAACAAATGTTTTAACTATAATTTTGGAGAGGAGTTTTTGCAGCGGTTTACTCAAAGCAAGCATTTACTACTGATTCAAAAAATAAGGTGTGTTCACTGGTAAGCTGATTTCAAATTCAATGAATATGAACAAAAAAGCAAAATATGTGTCTTTCATTAGACAATTTAATCATATTGTGCATACTGTATGGATATAATTCCAGTAGCAAATTACACTTACTTACTTAGAAAAACAATACAACACAGGACTTTACATGATATCTTTGAATCACAGAAATGACTAATATTCTGCTGTACCCTTTTTCTAGCTCCTGGAACATTCACTGTTGATTCAGCGCATGAAGTAAACACTCTTTCACGTATTGCTCTAACATTTAAACCATAGATCAAAGGATTAAAAACCGGTGACACTATGACTAATTCTAAGGCCAAAAAACTGCGAAGACTCTCTGGAATGTCATTTGAACCATATCTGCTATATGTCACATCAAAAAGCAAAGTAAAAATTAAATTCATCAGTGAAAATAAATGTGGTAAACACGTTTGCCAGAATTTCTTTCTGTTTTCTAAAGATTCTTTACATGCAGCAATGAGTTTAATATAAGACACAACAATAATCACTGCACAGCTAATAAATATGACAGTAACAATATATCCATAGACATTATTGACAAAAGATGATGCACAAGACAGTTTCACAACTGACCAGTTGTCACAATAAAATTTATCAATATGATATTTGCAAAATGGTCTCAGGTGTGCCAACATGATTGCTGGAATCACAGAGAAGTTAGGAACTATCCATGAGAGCAGAATTAATATTGCACAAGTAAGTTTAGTTAGTTTGGAATGATAGTTTAGAGGTTTACATATGGCTACATATCTATCATAAGACATCACTGTTAATATTGTGATATCAGAAAGTAAAGAGCTGTAGATAACATAGGTCTGCAGAGCACACATGTGAGAGGAAATCACGTATGAATCCAATATTAAATCAGACAGAAATTTAGGGTAAAATCCTGTTGCTCCATAAACACCATTTACACACAGATGACATAAGAAGATGTACATTGGTCCATGAAGAGCTTTCTCCATGATAATGACCATAACAAGACGAATATTAATTGACAATATCAGCAGGTAAAGAAGAAGAAAACAAGTAAAATAAACATGTCTGTATGACTTAGAATCTTTTGGCACCATGAGGGTCAGTATGACAGGATATGACCTGTTATCCATCAGATTATGAAAATTGCTTTAAATCACACAGAAAAATAATAACCTGCAATAAAAAGCACACAAGACAATTCATTCACAGCATCTATATGTTTGAATAATCAGAGGGTGAAAGTGAGAAAAACACAAGTGTTTATCAACAAACCAACCAACAACCTGGGAACTGGATGTCTGGAGAGCTGAGAATCTTGGTTCTTATAGCAGTTTATTTTTCTGTTGGGAAATTATCTAAAGGGATTATAAAACATCTTGGGATTAATTATAAGATCTTGAAAACTTTGTAATCGTTATGTTTAATCTAAAAAAAAAAAAAAAACAACGCTTTGAGATGTTTGGTGAAGTTCTGAAGTTAGTCAGCTTCATTGCTGGATTAGGTAAAATATTAGGTCATCAATATGTGTTTACTGTACAGACCTTTTTCTTAGAATGCAAAATTACCCATTATGCTTTGTGTGTATGCATAAGGAGGATGCTTTAAACTTCGGGTCAGCAGCTTGATGCGAATAAACAGTCACAGTTAGACAGCTTTCAAACGCTAGTTTTAATCTGTTTTACTTGCTGTAACCATTTTGAACTAATCCTGCTGTTGATCAGCGCCACCTCCTCAACTGATTATTTAAAAAAATGTGATCTAATAGAAATAAAAAACAACAATTGCGAGTCATTTACCCTTAACGTCAGACAGCATCTTGTGCCATTCAAATGGAGCCTCGTCAAAGCCTCCTAAAAGTGATCAATTTCTCTTTTTTTTCAAATATATAACCAACCCAAACAAATGTAATTCACCGTATCATTTGACACACGTACTGTCCCACTAACACATTGATTGAAAGACTGGCACAAAGTGAAAATAGAGTGGCATTTCGATATGACAGAAAAACACATACCATGGTAAATACTACACAACCAACCCAGGCTCATGCTGAAAACATAGTCCCGTGGATGTTTCTGGAGACCGCGAAATACGTCCCGGGAGGTACGTATTTGTGCCGTTTTTGTTTTCGGGAATCTGCGAGAGGCTAGCAAAGAAACTAGCAAAAGACTAATGCGCCGCGCCTTTGCTCCTCATTGTGCCGGGTTTATGATAGGGCCCTTAGTGACAGTTTTTTTTTTTGGCATTCCTCTAACGAAAGAACCTCCGGGCCAAGCACTTTTATGGAATTCTTAGGCACCCATCTAGATTCACATAATTCCAAGCATCCATACCTAAAGAAAATCGACTTAAATTTTGTTATCTTCCATATTCTTGAAGAAACAAGATTATTCTAAACATAAAATGCTGTCCATCTTAGGACACCAAAATTTGGCATGCGCATTATTATTACTAACAAATTTACAATTACAGATTCCCTACGGAAAGGGCATGTGCCACACACCGGAAGTGACGTGAATGTACCACACCGGGAGTGACGCGGGGAAATTTGTTGTTGTTGCTGGTGAGCGCGGTAAATTCGCGCTGTGGACTGGAGTACATGGTGTAAACAAGGTTTATGGTGACCGAACATGGTCAGCGGTCGAGGGTTGTTTTGCCCGTTTTGTGGCAAACACATGAGCAGCTTAACACGGTTTTGCTTTACGTGTGGTCGGTGTTTAGAGTTTATAAAGGACGCGGAGCAGACGGAAACACCAGACACACTGCATCAATGTGTTCAATATTTTTACGAGATCCACTCGTACGCTGTAATCGTGGACGTAATGTCAAGTGTACACGGTGTAAACATCTGCTTGAGGGCTCTTAACAGTAAACTGAAGGAAGCCGGTGTTACGGTTTAACTGGTGTCCGTGTTAACTGAGGCCCCTTTTCAGTTGTGAACTATTCACAGTTGCAGATTGGCAGATTCATCACTTTTTTACGGCAACAAAACATGCCCATACCAAATAAAGATTCTTATTACTTGGTGTCAGTGTCAGTGTAAACATTATCGATTTTAATATCTGTGTAGCAGAACATTGTAAACCAAAATGAATGTAAAGAAATGATTTTAATTGACATGTCATCAACGAGATTCGAACCCAAGCCAAAAGGTTCTGCATAAGTAACATCCGACCTATCTAACTGAGCTACTCGGGTCTACAGGTTTGAGTTGGTTTTGATATCTTTATCAGTCAACATGTGTCGTGCTTTGATTGTTTTTACACACTCTCACACTGACATTTTCTCAGAATAGCTCTAATATGTTTTATCGCAGTTGGTCAAACCATGATTTTTATAGTTGTAGACTCGTAAAAACCCATCTACAAAGTCACACACGAGCTGGATATTATTGATATTTTCCAGCGTGTGCGTTACATTCACGTCACTTCCGGTGTGTGGTAAATGCCCTTTTCGTAGGGAATCTGTAATTGTAAATTTGTTTCGAGACTTGTAAAAGTGTTTTGCGTTGTGTTAATTTTTTTTCAAAAATGTAAATTTGTTTTGTCCTTGGTAAAATAGTTTTTCCTATGTAATTGTGTTTGATGATACGTAAAAATGTTTTTTAAAATGTAAATTTGTCTCAAGCTTTGTAAAAGTGTTTCACACTTCGTAATGTTGTTTTGCACTTCCCGGCCACCGTAGTAACCCCCAGAACATCACACTAAATCCTCACCGTACAGAAAACATAAAACATTATCATTCCATGTGCAACCTCTCATTCCCTAATTTTCCCCGCTTACAATCAGTTTATTCATCACATATCTCCATTCACACAAACACATCCAAGCCAGCTCTATCAAAAGCTATCTAAGCAGAATCAAAACGTTTTCTACAAGTTAACCTATGGCTCCACATCTGATTTCCATAGCTAATTCACAAATCAGCCCTCTTACTAAGGCATCTGCAAAGACATTGCGGAGAGAAAGTTCATCCTTAAAATGAAAGTGCCTTTTCTTGCACATGGATGCCTAATCTGCAACACCCCCTATGCCCCAATCATTAGAAAGATTGCCACAATCATTAACCATTTTTTTTTTCAATATGAACTACCAACTTTCTGTGGGAAAGTAATTGCGCTGTGTGCTATTCTACTAAGCTGCTGAGGAGTAGATGATGTTTGCAGCACAGAATGATGACGCATGTCGCTCAAAGATTATGTAAAATTCACATGTAGTCCTGCATAACCAATCACACTGCGGTCACTTTGCAAAACATCAGACCTGTGTCTGATTTGTTACTACATATGAAAATGGCACAAATCTGAACCAAAAAGATCAAATTCCATGTGGTTTGGGTCACATGTGGGCAAAAAAATCTGATTCGGGCCACATTTGGCTGCAGTGTGAATGTAAGAGGCAGATGAGACCTCAATCTAATAACACTTCTGAAGAACCAAAAGACCAGGTCATGCTTTCCAACATTCTGCCATCCACCATGGAGATGGCAGCAACTTTCAGTGTGGATGGTGACAGTCCGCGCTCCAGCTTGGATTGAGGAAGGAAACCACAACACTGTTTGTGCAAGTTCAGCAGACTTCTTGGTTGAGAAGTGCACCAAACAATGAATAGACTTTACTAAAGGGCATAGCTGCCCTCATAGAGGGGGCTCTAGCCTGAGTGATTGTATCAACTACCAAAACCTAGGGACTCCCCGACATGGCTTCTGAGTTTAGCTCCATCTAAAGAAAAGCTAAACTCCACACAGAGGGAAGGGTGGTCTTCCCTCAACTGACCTGAAGCGCCTTCTGACTGTGATGCCCAGAGTATGCACATGTCCAGTGAGTGTTAATGGTCACGTAACGTGTCTTCGGTAGTCTAGTGAGAATGGAGATCATACTTGACACACCAGTGTCAAATATGGTGAAGAATGACACGTCCAATGAAAATCTTTGTTACAGTCCATGCTAGTTGTAGTGCAGTGACTTTTTGTACATGTTGTGAAGCTGATGATTTTTAAAAATTGCCTGTTTTTCTATTGGCATGTTATCTTCAGTAACAATGGATCTTTCAGCCAGTGAACTCAACAGCTCTGGCCAAGCTATATGTATTTGCAATTTTAAAAAGGAGGAGGATCTGCTCTCATCTTGTCTTTCTGTTTCAATGGAAGTGACATAAATGCATTGACTAATGATGTGTTTTTCAAAGCACTTCAGGGACATTTTAACAAAGACAATTAGTAAGATTGGATGTATGCGTTTTTTAGAGAATGTTAATGTTTAAATGTTTGCTTTTACTTGTTTGATTATGTTACAAACAATTTTTGCATCTGTCTTTTTGTTTTTGTTGGATACTGTAAAGTTGCATTCACTTTTGTACAATATTCATTGCTTTTTCATTCTGTTTTTTAAATTAAAGACCATCTTTAAAATGCCTCTCTGTTAGCTATTTCAGCCATGCAAGTACATCCCCTGTCTTTTTGAATAGAGAATCATGAAGATCTTAAAAGATGTGCACCAAGCCTACTATTAAATAACATATCTAAAAGCAATCTGACAGCTGTAATCTGACACGTGCAGTCCTACAGTAAGTTAAATTCCAGAGTTTACTATGGCTTCTCTAGTAACAGTACCAAAAAGTGATGAGAATAAAGTTGAAGTCATAATTATTAGCCCACCTTTCATTTTTTTTCTTTTTTAAATATCTCCCAAATGATGTTTAACAGAGCAAGGACATTTTCACAGTATGTCTGAAAATATTTTTTTCTTCTGGAGAAAGTCTTATTTGTTTTATTTTGGTTAAAATAAAAGCAGTTTTTAACTTTTTATAGACCATTTGAAGGTCAAAATTATTAGCCCCTTTAAGCTATATATTTTTTCGACAGTCATCAGAACAAACCATCGTGATACAATAACTTGCCTTATTACCCTAACCTGCCTAGTTACCCTAATTGGCCTAGTTAAGCCTTTAAATATCACTTTAAGCTGTATAGAAGTGTCTTGAAAAATATCTAGTCAAATATTATTTACTGACATCATGACAAAGATAAAATAGATCAGTCATTAAAAATTAGTTATTAAAACTATTCTATATAAAAATGTGTTTAATAATGTGTATAATAAATCTGCTCTCTGTTAAACAGAAATTGGGGAAAAAAGCAAAGTAAAAATTTAATTCATCAGTGAAAATAAATGTGGTAAACATGTTTGCCAGACTTTCTTTCTGTTTTCTAAAGATTTTGTACATGCAGCAACCAGTTTAATATAAGACACAATAATAATAAGTGCACAGCTAATAAATATGATACTAAAATTATAACTATATACATTATTAACAAAAGATGATGCACAAGACAGTTTTACAATTGACCAGTTGTCACAATAAAATTTATCAATATGATATTTGCAAAATGGTCTCAGGTTTGCCAACATGATTGCTGGAATCACAGAGAAGTTAGGAACTATCCATGAGAGCAGAATTAATATTGCACAAGTAAGTTTAGTTAGTTTGGAATGATAGTTTAGAGGTTTACATATGGCTACATATCTATCATAAGACATCACTGTTAATATTGTGATATCAGAAAGTAAAGAGTTGTAGATAACATAGGTCTGCAGAGCACACATGTGAGAGGAAATCACGTATGAATCCAATATTAAATCAGACAGAAATTTAGGGTAAAATCCTGTTGCTCCATAAACACCAGTTATACACAGATTGTCATGTCTGCTGTAGTGCCATCTTGTGGTTTTCTGGACACTAGTTATGTTTTGGTTTGTTCCTGCTTTGTAGTTCACGTGATCACTAATTGTTTCCAGCTGTCTGTCATTGTCTAATTGTTGTTGTCTTTATAAGCCTTGTTATGTTGTGTTTAGTTTGCCTTTGGATTTTTGCTGTTTGATTCTGGTTTGTTTTGTCCAGCTCTTATCTACCAAGTCTGCTCACTGACCCACACTTTTGGTTTGTTTGTTCACTTTGTTTCATGTTATGATCATATTTTTGAATTCCTGTTCTAACTTTGCTTGATTCACTTTTGTTTATTGGGTTGTACTTTTGTCTCTGTTCGATTTTTGAACCTAGCCTGTCCCCTTATTTATTATTAAAACTATTATTGCTGCACTTGGATATTTCTTGTATTTTGTAAGCCCATGGTGACACAGATGACATAAGATGTACATTGGTCCATGAAGAGCTTTTCCATGATAATGACCATAACAAGACAAATATTAATAGACAATATCAGCAGGTAAAGAAGAAGAAAACAAGTAAAATAAACATGTCTGTATGACTTAAAATCTTTTGGTATCATGAGGGACAGTATGACCTGTTATCCATCAGATTATGAGAATTGCTTTTTAATTACGCAGAAATATGATAACCTGCAATAAAAAGCACACAAGACAATTCATTCACAGCATCTATATCGTTGAATGATCAAAGTGACAAAAGGGTGAGAAAAGTGTTTATCAACAACCTGGGAACTGGATGTCTTGAGAGCTGAGAATCTTGGTTCTTAAAGCAGTTTATTTTTCAGTTGGGAAATCATCTGAAGAGATTATAAAATATTTTGGGATAATTATAATTAGGTTCTTGAGAACATATGAGTGTTGTTTAATCTAAAAAACCAACAACAAAGATTTGAGATATTTGGTAAAGTTAGAAGGTTAGACTGCTGTCTTCATTGCTGGATTAGGTAAAAAAAAATGGTCAATATGTTTTCACTGTTTAGATTAAAAAGAAAAACAACAAAATCTGTGATATAGTGGACTAAATTATCTTTACTGTCAATATCAATATGCTATATCAAAAGATGACATTATATTTTAACTTCAAATTTTTGGCAAGCATCAAACAAAGAAGTCTTAAGGCTACATTTCATTTAAAAAAAAAAAATAAATTAGATAATTTCAAACCAAATCTGGCCACAATGAAGTTTTTTTTTATTTGTTTCAGCAGTTCGAAATAGCTCACCATAGCAAACTTTTTAGAGCAGTTTGTTTTGTTCCTAAACACCTTTGAGCTTTTATTGTTCTGTGACTATCATACAATCAGTGGGTTTGTTGTGGATTTTCGCCTTCTTTGACGTGCTTCATATTCTCTTAGCTCATAGTCAGACAGGAGAAACACATCCATCACAACAACGTCAAATTAACAACATGAATATGCTAAAGGGTCAAGTAGCAGAGCTCACAACTGTACTATCGCTCGGGGAAAGACTCGAAACAACGTTTTTTTTACGCACCAGCCAAGAAGCAGTACCCTGTTGTGGCACATCTAATAGTTCTAAACATTGTTCCATTCTGTGTCTGTACAAATATAAGCAGTGGCACTTTTGGCTGTTTGCTAGATGTTTATAAAACTGCTATTCTCTTTCAGCCACCATTGTTGTTGTGTTTAGCAGTACTTACGCAGCGCAACACATTTGAAACTCTGCTTACTGCAGTGCAGGGGTTTGGAAGTCTCCGCAGCAGTATACCGTTACGAATCCTTTTTGTAAAACTGCTTTTTGCCCTTACATGAAGAACAAAAAAAAAAGGATATTTTTTCCTTTTTTAAGGATCAGGTCAAACAGTTGACTTGAACCATGTTTGAATCCATTTAGTCGATTTCTTGTTCTAGGGTCCCTTTTAGCTTAGCTTAGCTTAATGAATTGAGTCGAATTTGGCCATTAGCATTTTGTTCAAAAGATTCAATAAAAAAGTTTTGAAAATAATCTTGAGTCCGCTGTTGGTAGTGCTGTCGCCTCACAGCAAGAAGGTCGCTGGGTCGCTATTTCGAACCTCGGCTCAGTTGGCGTTTCTGTGTGGAGTTTGCATGTTCTCCCTGTCTTCGCGTGGGTTTCCTCCGGGTGCTCCGGTTTCCCCCACAGTCCAAAGACATGCACTTTAGGTGAATTGGGTAAGCTAAATTGTCCGTAGTGTATGAGTGTGTGTGTGAATGTTTCACAGAGATGGGTTGCGGCTGGAAGGGCATCCGCTGCGTAAAAACTTGCTGAATAAGTTGGCAGTTCATTCCGCTGTGGCGACCCCGGATTAATAAAGGGACTAAGCCGACAAGAAAATGAATAGACCAATGTTGCTAGGAACTATCTATCTATCTATCCTGTTGAGCTCAGCCTGCACATTTCATCAACTAAACCATAGTCATTTTCCAACTCATCAACCAAACCATAGTCACTTTCAGGTTCAATGCCTGAGCATTTTTTTCCCACTTTTTTCCACTACAGTATATCATTACCATAGCAGAGCATATCATATACCAAAAGCAATATATTATGATTTGTGGAATGTGCATTGCATGTGCGTTGCACTTTAATAAATCAGATCAGCAGTGTTGCAGTTAAAGGAGGTCTATATAATGTTTTTAAATTGACATTCAATACTCTTTAAAACATTTGATAAATGTCAAATGGTGTCATCTTAAGTTTTATCTAAAATCATAACGCTGAGCACAATCTTAGAGCACTTTAACTTTACCTACATAAACAAATAAATGTCCATTTGTTTACATGTTATGCAATACACACTTTGTAAATATGGGTATTTTCTCAAGTTTGTCTCACAGTGTTACACACTGGGATTAATGTGGCCTGAGAGGAGAATAAAAAGATCCAGAGGTCATTAACTATCATGGGCTTGATAATTGCCCCCCCTTGGGCAATAGTTCTTCAGGTCCCAGATGTGAGAGTTATGGACAGTTTACTGCACTCTTCATGATGTCAACAGCCAGGCCTCAATTTCTGACCTTCCATGATGGTTTTTAAAAAAAATGTTGTAAGTGTTTGCTGATATTGGATGCACTGTAAATCTTCACACTTAGTCACAGTAAATTTATTTGTTTTGTCATTTAATTTGAGAAACCCTGTTTCAAACTATATTTGACATGTGCTTTTAAAACCTTTTGTACCTTTTAGGTTGTGATTTTGATTAGATTGTGATTTTCCTAATTTTTTCACAATCAATTTTCTGTGTCATTCAAAAACCTAAGTTTGTAATCAAACCCAATAAAAATATAAATCTTCCCAGAATTCAAATATTCATAGCCTACAACTTTTAATTAAGTTTGTAATTTTGTCCTACTCTTCCTGCAAACAAGTTATAAGGTGGGCAACAGTACGGGTATTTGTTGTCACATTTTGTGCTTCAAAATGTGCCACACTTTCTATATTGGAGACTGGTCAGGATTGCAGGCAGGCCATCCAGTACCTGTATCCTCTTACTCCACAGCCAGGACTTTGTAATATGTGCAAAATCTGGTTTTGCCTTGTCTTGTTGAAATATGCATGGGCGTCCCTGGAAAGGAAGGCAGCATATTTTGCTGCAAGATCTCTTTGTACTTTCTAGCATTAAGGGTGCCATCACAGAAGTAACTTACCTTTGCCAAAGGCAATGACACAACCCCATGCATGACAGACCCTGGCTTTTGGTCTTGTTGCTGTTAAAAGTCTGGATGATCCTTTTCTTCTATTGATTCATCTGACCACAGTACATATTTGCACTGTGATGTACCATTCCAGATGCCTCCGAGCCCAGATAAGTCGATGGCACTTCTGGACACTATTAACACAGGGCTTCCATTTGGCACAGTACAATTCTCGCATGTGTGGACGTAACTACATATTGTGGTACTTGACAGATTTGCCAAAGTAGTCCTAATCCCATGTAGTGATATCGCTTATAAATGAATGAGGATTCTTGATGCAGTGCCACCTGAGTGATCGGAGATCATGGTAGTTTATCTTAGGCTTGTCCCCTTGTCCTTGATGCACTGAAATTTCTCCAGATTCTTTCTTTGAGGAACATTGTTTTTAAACATTTACAATTTTTTTCTCATGTATTTGTTGGTTTTAAAACTCATCATTATTTAAACAAATTACTTAATTACTAGCTCTAAACCGCCCCTGTCCATTTTTTAATAGAATTTGGAACTTTTTTTGGAATGTGTTGCAGGTCTAAGTGACAGGAAAGGATTTATATTTACAAATGAAATAAAGTTGAGCAGATAAAACATGAAATATTTTGTATTCATATTGTCTGCAATGAAATACAAGTCAAAGTACATTTGGAAATCACTGCTTTCATTTTTTTCTTTTCGTTTTTCATAATGTCCCAACTTCTGATTTGGGCTTGTAAAATTAATAAATAAATAGGTAAGTCTAGTCTATAACACCATACTTTAAGGTGCATATAATTCCCTTTTCTTTTACAATTTGCTTTGTTCTGTCTGAACAAAGAACTTATCTTCAGTTTAGATACTTCATTTATTTTCTTTTTTTGGCTTAGTCCATTTGTTAATCTGGGGTCGCCACAGCAGAATGGACCGCCAATTTAACCAGCATACATTTTACGCAGCGAATGCCCTACCAGCTACAACCCAACTCTGGGAAACATCCATACACACGTATACACTACGGACAATTTAGCCTACCCAATTCTCCTGTACCACATGTTTTTGGACTGTGGGGGAAACCGGAGCACCCACAGGGAAGAACATGCAAACTCCATCCAGCCAAGGCTCGAACCGGCGACTTTCTTGCTGTGAGGCGACAGCACTATCTACTGCGCCACTGCGTCGCCTCAGATACTTTAGGTTATACTATTTTTTGTTTTGTACTACACTGTATTTGTTGTTTGTATCTTGCATAAATAAAAGTAGTTTGTTCCAATAACTTATTGTATAACATCGAATAAAGGCAAAGAGGCTAAGACATTTCAGAAATTATTTTAGTTTTATTTCTGAACATTACATCTGCTATTTTGCTAATATGATGAGTTATGTGAATGTAGTTGGCATTTAAAACTAAGCACAGCATTTTCTGAGGTAATGTATTAGTATAAACTGTATTAGCATTAGTTACAGTGATAAAAAGTAAACAGAATATAAAATCGAGTGTGTCAACATAAATAATGATAGAGTACTTGAATAAAACTGCTTAATTTATATATATTTAACCGTTTTGCGAAAAAGTGCAAGCATCATAAATCTGGGTGAATATCATCATCTTGGAATTATAAGGTTCTGTCTGCGTTCTGAATGATTTTGAGATATTCAGCCTTAAAGTTTTTGCATTCCATAGCAAACAGTATGTGTAACATTTGTTTTTAAAATAAAAAGTCTAAAAATGTAAACAACTTATTAAAAAAAACATCCCATAATGTAAGTTGTTATTTAATAAGAATATGTCAATAACTTAATTTTGACAAAAATGTTAGATAGAACCTTATAATTCTAAGGCGACGATGTGCATTTTTAGAGTAGAAATATTTCACACTGTATTGCCAATATCCAGTTTTTGCTCTCACACAACAACAGTTTGATCACACATTAGCAGGCTTTTCTACAAGAACTGATGTCATTAATCCAGCTGATTGAGCACTGGTGGTCTGACAGACACAATAAGGCAGAACATATGGCAGCAGCTAATAGTACAGCTCATTAGGTGTAATTATCATATAAAAAGGTAATTGCTTTACTATTTCCTCATGATGTAGGCTTTGAGTAAACTGGGAGAAAAGATGAATCCACTAATTCTCATGATTAACAGGTCAAACTAAAGTCTAACACACTAACATTACATTTTTTTTAGTCCAAGCAGGGATTCAAAGTCAATATAAGCAATTTAGCATCAGTGTTTGGGATTTAGTTTAGATTTTAATAAGCAGGGCCTATGGTCTATGAGCAAGGCCTGGAGTTGTTGATTTAGGCCTAGTACATGATCCTCAACTATTTTAGGCAGAATTGCTGACAAAAGTCAAATATTATTAAATATGAACATTATATTACAAAGCTAAAGTCATTCCAATCTTTTTGTAATTTCAGAAATGTTGAATGGCAAAAACTATAATAAAATATGAAAATAACTATGTATCTTAATAGCTGAATAAAAGGACCAGATACAGTTGCCGTTGAGCCATCTGTGGACATGTTCAATTGCTGTACCTTTGAGAAAAGGTGACAAATGTGAGACTAGGTAAACATGTTAATTAAGGGTCATTATTTCTCAAAATACATCAATTCCCTGGGAGGCAATTTAAAGAAGGCACTGATGAGACTGAAGTACAAGGTCAATAAACTGAGCCCAATGGACAGCATCAAGAGGACAAAATCACACTAGAAGATCATAATGACCTCCCTAAAGAGGGCTGGCTATTGTTATACTATGCAAACAATGCATGCAAACAATGATGCAACCAAACCAGCATTATGTGAAACATTATGAATCATTAACAGTAAAATCTACAATACGTATTTAGAAATAGTACTTTTGCTATTGGTACTTTAACCCTTCAATGCATGAATGCTGCATCATTATGAGATGAGGTCAGATATATTAGCCCACCTGAATTATGAGTCTCTCTGTAAATAGTTTTCACAATTTCTATGGAAAGACAGATTTTTTCAACACATTTTTAAACATAATGGTTTTAATAATTTCTAATAACTGATTTCTTTTATTTTAGTCATGATAACAAGTAATAGTAAGAGGTAAACTTGGCAAATTAGGATAATTGAGCAAGTTATTGTATAACGATGGTTTGTTGTGTAGCCAATAAAAAAATAATAGAAAAAAGATTGCTCCCGAGGGCTAATTATACTGATGTTAACATTTTTTTTTTATTACAAACTGCTTTTGTTGTAGCCGAAATAAAACAATTAAGACTTTTTCCAGACAAAAAAAAAAGTGAAACATGAACCATCTTTGGGAAATAATTAAAAGAGAAATAAACATTCACAGGAGGGCAAATTGTTGCTCAGTTTAAATGAGTACACCCCTCACAGGCTTCTGTCTTTTCTTCATAGCACATAAAAAAATTTTAGTGAGATTTAACCAAGATTTAATGTCTATAAGATAGTCCAACAATGGTGTAATGGACCCAGCATATTTAGTTTAAGATAACTGAGCATTCTAATACTTTTTCTTTTTGCTGTCAAGAATTTTTTTCATCATTTTTATTGTTTGTAGTATTCTGTAATTTGTTACAACCTAAAACATTTGTGAAATACAACGCTTCGATCAAAAGGAAAATATTTACATATTATCAAACTAATGCATATTGTTAAAAATATACACAAACAACTGATATTTGCAGTATATTTTTGATGCAATAAGTTACTGTACATGTCATAAAGATGTCACTAATTTACATTAGAGGACATCAGAATTTATTCTTAATTTTTGTACATAAAAATATCAGCATCAACACATATATTATACTATCCGAGTATGATGAGTCAAAGATAATTTTAATGATATTAAATAAATCTGAATGTCCATACAAGGGTAAATCTGGTCAGATCTATAGTGGGTGTTCATTTTTTTATATTTTCTCTTTAGGTCTATTGAATAATAAGCAAAACATACAAAAGTAATTGGACTTACAAAAAACGTGTTACAGAGGGCGCCATAGTGGCACAGTCGGTAGCACAATCGCCTCACTCAAGGTCACTGGTTTGAGCCTTAGCTGAGTCAGTTGACATTTCTGTGTGGAGTTTGCATGTTCTCCTCCAGTTGGCATGGGTTTCTTCCAGGTGCTCCGGCTTCTCCCACAAGTCCAAAGACATGCGGTACAAGGGAATTGGGAAGCTAAATTGGCCATAGTATATGTGTGTGTATATGTGGGTTGCGGCTGGAAAGGCATCTGTTAAGTGAAACATATGCTGCATAATCCAATGGTTCAATCCAATGTGGCGATCATAGATAAATAAAGGGACTAAGCAGAAAAGAAAATGAATGAAGGAAAAAATGAATATGTTTAGTGAATTAAAAAACAGCTCCACATGCTGCCCATATGCATATTTGTCATATGCAAAGCCATAACATTATTTGAACAGCAGATGGCAGCAAATAATGTCAAATCCTTAAATCACAATAAAACAAGCCAGATTTCGCAAACAGTTTGAACATTTAATCTAAAAAACTGCACTAGTATCCAATTTAATACATTCACTTCAGCTTCGTCTCGTATATTGCTGTACATAACATATGTAAATTCATGTTTCATTTAATTTTAAAGCCTCTTACATAGTAAAACAAAATTAAGTTTACTTTAGTTTTCTTTTTTGTAATATTCTTTCACCAAAAACACATTTCACTAAAATAAAAATTTCTAATACTTAATTGTTTCTGACAAACCAATTCCTAAAACACAAGATTTTATTTTAGTTATCACTGCCGCCAATTTCAGACAGGGGCAACACGGTGGCTCAGTGGTTAGCACTGTTGCCTCATGCAAGAAGTTTGTTGGTTTGGGTCCTGGCTGGGCCAGTTGGCAATTCTTCCCACACAGTCCAAAAAGATGTGGTATAGGTGAATTGGATGAACTAAACTTAAATGTGTTTCCCGGTACTGGGTTGTAGCTGGAAGGGGTATTCCCGCTGCATGTGAGACACATGCCGGAATTGTTGGC